GCCTCCCAAGTAGCTGGGACCACAGGCGCCCGCCACAACGCCCAGCCATTTTTTTGTTTGCAGCCGTCATTGTTGTTTGGCGGGCCCGGGCTGGGGATTCGAACCCACCACCTTAGGTGTATGTGGCTGGCGCCTTAGCCACTTGAGCCGCAGGCGCCGAGCCTAATCTACAGTCTTAGAATCTATCTTCTCTTCCAAACTTTAAAAAATTTGAATGCCGAAGGTTTACCTTCTCTGTCTTTGACCAGGGGGCCCAGGGGAGTACCAGTGGAGGAATTGATGGGAAAGGTTGGTTATCAGGTAAACCCAGTGATAAAACATCATAGCAATTATCTGTAGTTATTAAAGTATTCTAAATCTCACTTAATACATTTATTTGTAAACAGTTTCACAAATCACAGACAGCCTCGCCTGCCCCTCAGCTCTGTGAAGTGCTGGTGCTCACAGGGCAGAGGCGCTGCCTGGTGACCTGTGACTAGAGTGGTCCACGAACAGCCCTGAGATGGGTTGTGAAGTGTCATCTCTATGTTTGGTTTCTCCGCTGCCTTTGACAATTTGGGATTTCAGGCTGTGGCTTGCAATTCTATGAAAGAGTTACTTGGGGAATTTAGAAATGATTTTTGGATAGCCTCAAATTTTATTTTGAATTACTGCTTTTTCAAACTTTTAATTGTTTAATTTTAAATTTCTACATTACTGTGAATGCATGAAGTATCAACGTGAATCTGTGCCTTTGCTCTGGCTGTGGCACGTCACAGTAGGGCTTTTCAGACATTGTAATAGAAGGGATGATGAGCAAGGAGTTAAGGGATGAGTTTTCTCTATGTACCTTATAAAATTATGGGGAGGATCAAATAAAAAACTGTATGTGAAGGTACTTAGCAAGGTACTCTACCTACTACCGAAGATGGTGTCAATAATAATTCTCAACCTTTTGCTTCTTTTTCTCCTTTGCTGATTTGCCATATACTTTACACTGGATTAATTTACTTTAAATGGCACGACAGATTCTCTAAACTAATTCTGTGCAAAAACAGGTCAGCCTTGTCTGTCCACCTGGAGGGAGGAGTCCAGGTGACAGTACTGGGGCTTCTTGGTCTGCTGCCTCAAGTTGGAAATAGTAGATTCCTCGCCGCTTCCCCTCATCCTCTTCCTCTGTGCTTTGTCCTTTCCTCTCTAGAAGCCTCCAGCCCCCTCTGACCAAAGGGCTTGAACCTCAGCTGCTTCTCCCTCTGAGTTGCTCGAGAGGGGACGAGGGCTGCTCCTTCCCGCCAGTGCTGCTCTGACACTTCACTCCCATGGTCTGCAGGAGCTGAACTTCTAGGTTCCTGCTTTGCAGGGCACTAAAACTAGGGCACGTTTTATTTCTCAGCAAAGAAATATATGAATTCTACGTATTTTTTTATGTTTCATAGAATTCAATTCGCCACAATCTCTCTCTGAATCGTTATTTCATCAAAGTACCGCGTTCCCAGGAAGAACCAGGCAAAGGCTCATTCTGGAGGATAGATCCTGCCTCTGAAAGCAAATTAATAGAGCAGGCTTTTAGGAAAAGACGGCCTAGGGGCGTGCCTTGCTTTAGAACCCCTCTGGGACCGCTTTCTTCTAGGTAAGGAAAAAAGAGGAACAAAAAGGCCTCACTTAATGGTCAGTAAATTTACCTTCAATGTATTGGTAAATTTTCCTTTTGACAATGAGGAACTACCAAATGCATTATGACTGAATGTTGGGATGGGGATCCGGGTGCCCCCATGTGCTCTTGTTTCTGGTGTTGGGAACATGCAGATTGTTGTTCCGGTGAGGTGGCTCTTGCTTCATAGAGTTCACGGCATGTTGTTAACATGAGTAGATACCTTTCACCCGAGTGGGCAGCCTAACAATGCTGCATTTTATGTTTCTCCTTTCCTTTGGCATGCACAGAGCTCTTTGAAAATATCTTTTAGCCTTAAACTCAAGATTGACTTATTCCGTGTTAATTTGCCTGACTTTAAAATTATACATTTCTAGCTTAATCAATACTCTGTTTTTAACCAAAGAAAGAGATGAGCATGACGTAAGTCTAAAGCCACCTTCTGCTCTCCCACTGCTGCAGCCTGTGGGCTCTGCCAGGCAAAGGGTGCCCGTGGCTCTGCTGCAGGCCATGGCAGTCCCATGAGTGCTCCGAGTGATTGCAGTAGGTGGCAGGTCCTGGCCACACCCCCTTTGCAAAGTACACTTAGTAGAACAGAGAAGCACTTTGTGGGAGGGGGTTGCCCGCAAAACTACATGTCATCTTTCTGGTGCCACAGGAGCGCCCCAGCCTCTCCCAATCATGCTGGGGTACTGTCTGCTCACTCCAGCGGCGCCCAGACCCCCGAGAGCCTGTCCAGGGAAGGTTCGCCAGCACCCTTGGAGCCTGAGCCTGGCGCCTCACAGCCCAAACTTGCTGTCATCCAGGAAGCTCGGTTTGCCCAGAGCGCACCAGGTGAGACATGGTGAGAGTGCAGACACTGGGGCTCAGCAGAGAGGTAGCTAGGCTTAGGGAAGGCCTCTGTGTCTTTGTGCCTCATTCCTGCTGCTTTCTGCATAGTGCCTGAAGGTCATTTTACAGGTCTGAGAAAAATGAGAAAAGTAATTCAGCTCTGTGGGTGTTTAGAAAGAGGTCAATTAGCTTTCTTTAAATGACACTGTGTGTAGATGTCTGAAATAATTTAGAATTAACCTGTTTTTAAGTTGCTTTGTTATTTAAAAATCTGTGAAAAAGCCCCTCCCCAAAAAAGATCCATAAATTAGACAAACTAGACACTGATCGAAACCAGAAACATCCGTTTAATGAAGAGATGAATGTTTGACAGTTCATTTATAAAGTCACAATATAGAGTAAACATGTGTGTCTTGAGGATTTTTTAAAAAAATGGATAGTGTGGAAATGTATCCAAACTAATTCTGTTATGGTTAAGAAAAATGTACATTATGGAGGCCAAGGGGGTGGGATTCCCTGAGCTCACAGGTCAGAGACCAGCCTGAGCAAGAGCAAGACCCCCATCTCTAAAAATAGCTAGGTATTGTGTCAGGTGCCTGTAATCCCAGCTACTTAGGAGGCTAAGGCAAGAGAATTGCTTGAACCCAAGAGTCTGAGGTTGCTGTGAGCTATGACGCTACTGTACTCCACTGAGGGTAACAAAGTAAGACTCTGCCTCAAAAAAAAAAGAACCAGGCTCAGTGGCTCACGCCTGTAATCCTAACACTTTGGGAGGCCAAGGTGGGTGGATTGCCTGAACTCACAGGTTTGAGACCAGCCTGAGCAAGATCAAGACCCCATCTCTCAAAAATAGCAGGTTGTTGTGGCAGGAACCTATAGTCCCAGCTACTTAGGAGTCAGAGGCAAGAGGATCGATTAAGGCCAAGAGTTTGAGGTTGCTGTGAACTGTGACTCCACAGCACCTTACCGAGGGCAACATAGTAAGACTCTGTCCAGAAAAAGAAAAATATCAAAGGGGAAAAAAAAAAAGAAAAATGTATATTTTGATCATTTGGGGTCCCACCTGTGCTGGTCCAGAGCACATTGTGTACCCTGTTCCATTAGCAGTACCCATGTCTTTGTACCATTCTCTGCAGCCAAAGCCCCCAGGCTGGAGGGCAGAGGTCAGGGCACAGGCCCCACCACAGCCCTACCCTGAACCTTCTGCTTCCATCCACCCAGCAAGATGGAGGTGTTGGTCCCGTATGGCTGTGGCCCTGGTCTTCTGATCCCACAAGGGTGATTTCTTTTATATTGTATATTGACATTTTTTTTTTTTTAAATTTTAACTCAAGGGTAACTTTGTTAAAGCAAAGAACTGAACATAATTTTAAAGGACTCCACCTCTATTACCTGTGCACTTTCTTAACCACGAAGAAAGAGCTGTGGGAAGAGGTATGACCAAAAATAACACTAATAGCAGTTAGATATGGGATGGGAATTAAATCTGCTTTTTAAAATAATACAGTTCTCTCATCATTTGTAACTTTGCTCTTCTGTGGTGAAATGGGGCCACATCCTGTATTTTAAGTTTAGGAACATGTGTAGGGAACTTGCATCAGTGAAGGCCTGGTGAGCCTCAGCCCTTCGTGTCTTGCTCTCCACAGGGTCACCTCTGCCTAGCCAGCCAGTCCTCATTGCTGTTCAGCGACAGCTGCCACAGGCTGTTAAGCCCGTCACTTACACAGTTGCAGCCCCAGTGACCACTCCAACCTCCCAGCCGCCCGTTGTGCAGACAGTTCACGTCGTCCACCAGTTACCAGCAGTGTCAGTCACCAGTGTGACTGGACTGGCCCCAGCAAACACTTACACTGTTGCGGGACAAACTGTGGTCACTCAGGCGGCTGTGCTGACCCCCACGAAGTCCGAGCCACAGGAGAACGGTGATCACAGGGAAGTGAAAGGTGGGCCACGGGAGAGGAAGCCCTTCAGCTTCACACTTTGAGACCCCCATCGGGTTTGTCCATCCTCAGCCCTTTTTTTCATTTATTGTTAGTTTTAAAGACAGACATTTTGGCCAGGTGTGGTGGCATGTGGTTGTAGTCCTGCGGGAGGCCGAGGTGGAAGGATGGCTAGAGCCTATAAGGTTGCTGTGAGCTCTGGTAACACCACTGTACCTCTGTCTGAAGAAACCCAACATTTATTGGCAGCGCCTGTGGCTCAGTGGGTAGGGCACTGGCCCAGGCCAAACTGCAACAAAAAAATGGCGGGGCATTGTGGCAGGCGCCTCCCATCCCAGCTACTCAGGAGGCTGAGGCAAGAGAATTGCGTAAGCCCAGGAGTTGGAGGTTGCTGTGAGCTATGTGACGCCACAGCACCTAACCGAGGGCAATAGAGTGAGACCCTGTCTCTACAAAAAAGAAAGAAACCCCATTTTATAGCAGGGCTGATAGTGTTCTGTTTTAAAGTGGTGAGATATTTATCAGCTTTTAAGTAATATTAATTGATGTTGTTTCTTTTCTTTTCCTTTTCTTCTAATTTCAGTGAAAGTAGAACCTATTCCTGCAATTAGCCATGCCACATTAGGCGCTGCCAGCCGGATCATTCAGCCGTCACAGACCACCCCTGTCCAGACGGTCACCATAGTACAACAGGCGCCTCTAGGTCAACACCAGCTACCAATAAAAACTGTAACACAAAACGGTACTCACGTGGTACCAATCCCCAGCGCAGTCCACAGCCAGGTGAACAATGGTAAGAGATTCCCACTGTGTCCTGCTAAGTGCAGGTGGAGGCCTTTACTCCCTGGGAGGGTATTCATTGTTTTGGTTCTGATTATTGGTTTTTGTTTTCTGAGGAAATACTTGTATTTCTACTCTGTAGGAAATCTAATATTGCTAATGTTATTAGGAGAGCTGGGAAGTGTTTATGGGAGTTAGCTGTCATGGATTCCCTGGGGAGGAGACTGCTGAAAAGAGATAGGAGTTCCTGATACCTCGAGGGGTAAAAATACTCTGGGCTTCTGCAGCTACTGGTGTGTCTTAGAAGCAACCAGGCATTTGGGTGGCAGAGTGCGACTGAGAGAACACACTCCTGTGCTGAACATCACTTATCTGTCAGTGGCATTGTTCTCCTAGGGGAGTGTTGTCTTTGCTTAAGAGTTTCTGAGGGTGGAGTGGAGAATTCTTCTCTGCTTTTTTGCTCTGCAAGCCCTTTGAAGATCCTTGCAGGTAAATGCTGTGAGTATTCTGACAGACAGGTGGAGAAGACAGCTGCTTCATCAGCACAGGTTATCAGCCCTCACCCTGCATGCAGAGCCGCAGCAAAGCTGAAAGTCAGCTCAGAAGTGTGGGGTCCCGCCTGGGTGTGCGGAAGGCCTGCCACCCCTGTGTAGGTGTGAGCTGTCCTGCCAGCTGCCCACCCGGCACTTGCCGGTCCTCAGGCAATAAAATGTGAGGCTCCCACCCAGACTAACACTCTGTGCCCAAAGGTGCTTCCTTTTAAAGCAGATAGCAGTTACCCGTTGAAATGCACTTTTTCAGCCTTGTGTCCTCAGTAAGTAAGGGCTGTTGAGGCCTTGTTTTGGTTTTCTCTGAATAACTCTAGTCATGGATTGTCTAAGAACCTAGTAGCCCTGTGGGCAGCTGGAAATAAGTTGAAGGGAGAGGTAGGTGGTCAGTTTTCTGGCCTTGGTTGTTCTTCCCAGTCTTGAGACCTGGTACAGGAGTCCAGTGGCTCTCAGGCTTTCCACATCACCAGGGAGCCAGCAGTCCCAGAGTGCTGCTTCCCTAGGTCCCCACCCAGACAGGACTGCTTGTTCCAGGTATGCCAGGAATCGTGGCGCAGGTCAGAGGTTTGTCTCTCAGAAGGAGTTTCACATACAGAGGGTGCCAAAAAAATGTTTATACATTTTAAGAAAGGAAAAACCTGTATTTGTAATACAATAACTTCTGCAATTGCAAGAGGTGCTCAACCTGACTTGTATTTATCTTTTGTTACCAGTTAATGCTGAGTGTTACAATTTTAATACAGTTGTTTCCTTTCTTAAAATGTTTATATGTTTTTTGGCACCTTCTGTATTTAAGTTGGTAACTAAAATTTTTCATAATTTAAGGAAAGATTTTAGTTTTCCACTATTAAAATTATTGGTGTTTTAAAACAAAACCTTTACCTCATTATTTCAAATGTACTACTGGACTGTAAATACCCATGGTGAGAAGCCCAGCCTGCCCATGTCAACACACAGAAGCCAGGCAGCAACTCCCACTGTCATTGGACTTGTACTCCCTTCCACGCCACACTGACTCCATAGAAGTTATATGTGTACATTATGCTCAAAGGTTACTAATTCTATCTTTTTTGCTACTGCAGCAAAACAGAGACATAAATACTGCACATTTCAGAGCTAGAAAGAAAAAAATAGAAATATTAAGACTTGTGAATAAAAAGATTAACTTATTTGTTACTATTGTGGAACTGATAAACACCAAAAATATAATAAATTTGTGCAAAACCAGAAATTAAATTTTTTTTTTCTCAAGATGCATTTCTTAATATATCAAGACCTTAGGGGACCTGTGACTCAAAAGGGAAGGGATCCGGCCCCATATGCCAGAGGTGGTGGGTTCAAACTCAGCCCCGGCCAAAATTTTAAAAAAACCCAAAAAGTGTTGTGAACTAAAATAAAAAAAAATTAAAAAAAAAAAAAGAAAGAAAGAAAAGACCTTAAAGAAGGCTCAGCACCTGTAGTTCAGTATTAGGGCACCTGCCACATATACCAGGCTGGCAGGTTTAAACCTGGCCCAGGCCTGTTAAACAACAGTGACAACTACAACAAAAAAATAGCTGGGCATTGTGGAAGGCTCCTATAGCCCCAGCTACTTGGGAGGCTGAAGAAAGAGAATCACTTAAGCCCAAGAGTTTGAAGTTGCTTGAGCTGTGATGCGACGGCACTTTACCAAGGTAACATAGTGAGACTGTCTCCCCCCCCCCCAAAAAAAAAGAACTTTAAGGAAAATGCTTGTAATCCCAGCATGTTGGGAGGCTGAGTCAAGAGGACCACTTGAGTCCAAGAGTTCAAGTCTGCGGTGAGCTAAGATGTTGCCACTGTACTCCAGCCCAGCTGACAGAGATAGAACCTGTACCTCAAAAAAAAAAAAAAGAAGAAAGAAAGACGAAGGATAGAAGTGAAGCCGAAACTCCTCAAAGTTACATGTTAAAGTCAGTCAGTGATCTTTTAACAAATTACTGTAGTAATTCCCTCAGAGGGAAATCCTATTGGATTTTTATTGTTTGTTTTTGAAATAGAGTTAGTTTGGCTCTGTTGCTCCAGGGAAAGTGCACTGTTGCCATTATAGCTCGAAACACCCTCCAACTTCTGGGCTCAAGGAGATTCTCCAGCCTCAGCCTCCTGAAACCTGAGGCTACAGGTGCCCACCACACCCAGCTAATTTTTTAAGGTTTTTTTTTTGGGGGGGGGGGTAGAGATGGGGGGTTTCACTATGTTGCTTAGACTGGTCTTGAATTCATTTCTGGCCTCAAGCGATCTTCCCACCTCAGCCTCTCCCTGCTGAGATTATAGGTGTGAGCTCCCAGCTAGGATTTTCTTTTAATAGATAAGCACAGTGCTGTTATTATAGTAATAATAATTTCTTTAACTCAGTATTATCATTAAAGTTCAAATTATCAATTCTTTTTTTTTTCTAATTGTGGTGAAATACACAAAAGCATAAGATTTTCATTTTAACTATTTCAAAGTTTACTCATTTGTACCTTGACAATGTTGTGAAACCATCACCTCTGTTAAGTTCAAAAACATTTTCAGCCAGTGTAACCTGTTCTGTGTACCCTCAATGAATTCCCAACAATAACAAACAAACAAAAAAACCCACACATTTTCAGCATTCCTACAGGAAACCTATTCTCACAAGCAGCCACTCCCCATCCTCTTTCTCCTAAGGTCTCTGGTAACTTCTGATGCACCTTGTCGCTCCCTGGATGTAATCCTGGGATCTGTTGACTGCTGGCGTCTGGCTTCTGTTACTCAGCACCATGTGTCTGAGGTTCATCCGTATGGTGACTGCTGTCAGTCCTTGATTCGTCTTTATGGGCAAATATTCTTTTACCATGCTGCTTATTCATAAGTTGTGGACATCTAGTTTGTTTCTACAGTTGAGCTATTGGGGGTAATGTTGCTGTCAACACTCACTCACAGGTATTTGTTTAAACTCCTGTTTCCATTTCTTCTGAGCCTAGAAGTCGAATTTCTGTGTCACCCGCAAATCTGTGTTGAGTTGATTGAGTAACCAACAGACTGATTCTCACGGCATGTGACTTCCCCACATTCCTACTAACAGTGAGGTTCCTATTTGTCCACAGTCTCTCTTGTGGGCAAATAACAGTTGTTAATTTCCTTTTTGTTTTTTGTTACGATCATCTTGTAGTATCCTTGATTTGCATGTCCTAATGACTAATCAAGCTGAGCATTTTGCCATGTGTTTGTGTTTGTACATCTCCTTTGAAGAAAATTATTAAAATCCTTTACCCTTTTTTTTTTTTTTTGAGACAGAGTCTCATTGTGTCGCCCTTGGTAGAGTGCCGTGGCGTTACAGCTCATAGCAACCCCAACTCTTGGGCTTAAGCGATTCTCTTGCCTCAGCCTCCCAGGTAGCTGGGACTACAGGTGCCCGCCACAATGCCCGGGTTGGGTTTAAATCCGCCAGTCTCCATGCTTGTGGTCAGCGCCATAACCTCTGAGCCACAGGCCCCCTTTGCCTCCTTTGCCCATTTTTTACTTAGATAGTTCATCTTTTTGCTTTGGAGTTGTGGGAATTTCTGTACATTCTGGGTGCTAGCCTGTTATCAGACATATCTCGGAGGTATAGTGGATGAGGTTCCAAACCCCCCTGCAATAAAGCATGTCACACCAAGTTTTTGGTTTTCCAGTGTATAGAAAAGTTAGAGTTACTCTGTACTGTTGTTTTTAAGATGCAGTAGTATTGTGTTTAGACAAACAATGTACGTACTTAATTTATGAAATGCTTGTTGCTAAAAACTGCTGACAATCATCCGAGGCTTCAGGGAGTCATAATCTCTTTGCTGGGGGAGGAAGGTCTTGTTTTGATGCTGCTGACTGTGAGGGAGGTGCCTGCTGGAGGTGAGGGCAGCTGTGGCAGTTTTTAAAAACGAGACGACAAAGTTTGCCATGTTGATCGATACTTCCTTTCATAAAAGATTTCTCCATAGAGTGTGATGCTGTTTGATAGCATTTTTTCTTTCTTGAGACAGAGTTTTGCTGTGTCACCCTCAGTAGAATGCCATGGTGTCATAGCTCACAGCAGCCTCAAACTCAAGGGCTTAAGCAATTCTCTTGCCTCAGCCTTCCAAGTAGCTGGGGCTACAGGCACCCGCTACAACACCCAGCTATTTTTCTGTTGTAGTTGTCATTGTTGCTTAGCTGGCACGGGCTGTGTTCAAACCCACCGGCCTTGGTGTATGTGGCTATTGCTGTAACCACTATGCTATGAGCACCAATCCTGTTTGATAGCATTTTACCCAGAGTAAAGTGTCATTTAAAATTGGAGTTAACGCTTTCAAACCCTGCTGCTGCTTTATCTACTAGGCTTCCATGATGTGCCATATCCTTTGCTATAGTGTCTACAGTTTCCACACATCTGCACCAGGAGCAATCTTTGTGCATCCATAAGAAACAACTCCTTGCCTGCTCAAGTTTTATCCTGAGATTACATCAGTCA